AATACTATGTTCTCTAATAATTTTTAATAAATCATCTCTAATAGCATAAATTGGTAAAAATTTTCTTTGTTCATCAATAGTTCTTTTTCTAGCAAAGTCTGAAACAGCATCTGTTTTTTCTTGCATATGTTCAGCAAATTTTTGTGATTTTTTATAATCAATATCTTCTGATTGTTCATCTTTTTGATCACGACGTTTTATACCTAATATATTTCCTAATTTAGTTCCACCTAATTCAAATTTTTCTTGAGCTAAACGTCGTTCTTTTTGTTCACGATATTTTCGTACTGATTGACAACCTTTACGACAAATAATTGCCATATCGGATGTTGGATCTTTAACAGGAATAACTGGTTCAACTAGAAAACAAAAACAAAATATTTTATAAATTAAAATTAATTAAAAACACGAAAATTACAAACATTGTCGAGTAAATTTAATTCGACCATCAAGAAATGGTGGAACAAGATTTGTAACAAGTAAATGTACACGACTTTCATTTTCTTCATCAAAATCTTGATCATAATTTATTTTAGTTACAACACCACTTTGAATCATTCGATTTGTTTCCCATTTTTCAATATCCTTAAATTATATAATGAATACAGAAATTAAATAAAAATAAAGACTAAAATTTACTTGATTGATTTGTCGTTGTTGTGCAGACATACGTTTTTTCTTTCGTTGTTCTAATGCTTGTTCTTTCTTCTTTGTATATTCTTCACTAACATTAGTAAATGGATTTAATTCATCATCAAGTACATCTTCATTATTGTACCATTCACGATCAATACGCTGAAAAAAAAAACACAAAGTATTCATGTCTTTTATTAGAAATTTTGAGTAGATTATTTACTTTTTGTTCGTCTTCCCAACTACGTCGACCATCTTCATCGAAATCTTCATGTTTACTTTTACGAAAACTTGGTGTTGGTAATGGTGTATCGTTACGTTTTCTAGATTAAAGCAAAAAAAAACAAATTTTACAATTGGATTAATGAAGAACGTCTTATTGTAATGCAAGTTATGACAAACCGATAAAACTAGCAATATTAGTGATGGGCCGAAACTGTACGTTAGGAACGTGAGAGAAACGAAAGAACGAAAGAAAAATTCTTACGACTATAACGTAAGAAAGACGTAATTTTTTGTTCCTTCTCCTGTACGAAATTATGGAATAACGTTTCACAATGACGAGCAACATTGTGCGTCATTCCGGAATTTCGTACAGGAAGGAACCAAAAATTACGTCTTTCTTACGTTACAGTCGTAAGAATTTTTCTTTCGTTTCTCTTACGTTCATAACGTACAGTTTCGGCCCATCACTAAGCAATATAGTGTCTATCGCATTGCATTCTATAGTATTCAGACAAACATGGGCTCTTTATAAGTATTTGTTTCAGGTAGTTAGACAACGTTGCCAAATGTCTACATGTAATGGAAAACAATTTATAAACTTTCATTGAGATTAAAAGATTATCAGAAGTTAGTCCCCATGAATTCTGACTATTTTATTTGAAATGATATATATAAAAGAATCAAATATTAAACATACGGTCTTTAGAAAGTCTTGAAAAATACAGCTGATAGAAACATTTTACTATCATGATAGAAGTATGTTCAGACTTTTAAAAAACAGTAAATTTCTCTGACTATGGAAAATTTCCGAAATATCGTAGAATTTACAAGAACTCATTTTTGTAATGAAAATAAAGATAATTCAATAAAAAAGAAAGTTTTTCTCTGCAATCATGACAATATTTCAGGATAAATTGCGAAATTATGAACATTTAACTAGCATAATTGCGAAAAAATTTATACAATTACGACTGTTCACATGTGAATGATTTTAGAAATTAAAAAGAAATTTTGGAAACAACTAAAAAATGTTCATAACTTCTGAGATTCATCTCTATACATTATATGAACTTGTTTATATAATGCTATAATAAGAAGAAGTTCTTTTCCGAAATTTATTGGAAAATTTGGAAACGTCCATAAGTTTCGAAATTTCTTAATGATGTCCAAAATTTTCAATAAATCATGAAGTATAGTGCTCTTTGTATTATATGCATAATTAGAATCCTTAGAAACTATTTTTCTGTGGCGTGCTTATTACGAAAGTTATGTGAAAGTAGGAAGTGGTGTCTAAAGCACTGAAAAGTTTTTTTTTACTCTTTTCAAGTTATTATGAAAATTGCAGCATTTTCAAACAGTTAGTTTCAATTGCTTTAATAATAATTTCTAAGGTTATCTGTTAGTATTGTATTTCTATAAAAGTAATTTCAAAATCTATGAAGGAAAATGTACTTTTTTTGGAAGTCTGAACACTGCTGTAAGAATAATCAATAAAGTATCCTCTCATAGAATATTTTCTTCTTACCTATTATAATAATCAGTATCACGATGTTTTCGATAACCTTGACGATTATAATTATCATTCGGTGTTGGATGTTCCCATTGAGATCGTCTTCTATCGGAATCATCATCATCCCATTCTGCTCTTGATGGTGATTCTAAACAAGAAAATTATTGATATGTTTGTAATTTAGTTCAAAAACTATTCTTTTTTTCTTTTACCTCGACTACCACGAATATTTGGTGTAGCATATCTATCATCATCAACATCATCTTTTTTATCGATATTTCGATCTAGAGTTAAATGAAATAATTTATTATAAACGAAGTTCAAAAAATATTTTTAAAAGATACATACGTTGTTTATGTCCTTCTTTTCCATAAACTAAACCACGCTGTATATGTTTAGGTGCTGAACGAGTTTTTTCATAAAAATCATGATGTGATGAACGTGACGATGATGGAGTTTCAATTCTTTGTTCTCGTAAATGTCTTGATTTTTTACTATGAGAATTATTATTTTCATCATCGATTTCCTCAAATGATGATGTTTTAGAACGTTTTGATGATGATAACGTTGTTGTTAAAGATTGTTGACGACGTTTTTCAGCTGCTAATTTGTCAAGGCCAAAAGATGATGGAACTTGAGGAACTTTGAAAATAACTTGATCATCTGACGATACTGCTTGAGTTTTCTTTTTAATAATTAAACCACCTTCTTGTTGATCATCAGTACCGGGTAGACGATGAAGATCGTTTTGATCGTCATAGTTTTGTGATGCCATCTAATAAATACAAAGAAATAAATTACTTTTATTTTATGAATTATATTTTCTTTTATATGATGAAGAAATTTCTATAATCATTTTATTATTTCGTATGTTCAGTTTTTTTTATTGGTTAAAAAGTAAGCTAATCCAGAATCTTTCATTAGATGTCACACAATGACAAGAATTTATTATAATTCTAATACTAAATAGGCTTATCATGGTCAAATTAACATATATAGCATTAGAGAATCAATTAAGACAGTAGTCAAAATGTGTCATGTTGAATTAAGAAGAAACGAAACAACAAACGTTGTAACACTTATCTCTTAATTCTAGTCACAAACCATTTGAGACTGAAATATCTGTTAGTATATTTTAAATTTTATGCAGAAATTCAATTTTTTTAATGAAACTTTTACGATAGTAAATCAATGGTGGGACCCGAACGAGCTTAGCCCTCCTCAAGAAACTTTCAGTCCTATTGATGAGGTTTCTGAAAGATATGTTTTGTTTTCTAATACAAAAATGTATTAGACTTTGTGATTAAACGGTTTAAGATATATATCATAACATCTATAACCTCATTGAAATTTATATTTACTGTATTTTATTTTCTTCATAAACACATACTAACTAGTTCCACAAAATAAAACATGTGTTAAAACGTTACATTGCACAGACTAATACAATTTTGTATTAGAAAAAAATACATGTTTGAAAAATCTCATCAAGATGCCTTTAAGTTCCTCTAGTTCGAAATCTTGGCTCTGCAACTGTGGTAAATGCGCATTTTTTAGTTGAATAGAATCGATCCATTTGAAATTAATTACGAAGAAATACGCAAAAATTATTCATTTGAGAATATATCTCAAAAAATTTATTTTTCTTTATTTCACGATCTAAAGAACTTTCAGTACGCCCACTTCAATTTTTATCTGTAATGTAATTGATGAGATATTATCAACATAACACATGACATAAATCAAAAACGTATTTCAAAGGGTATTTGTTTTTGAAGATAAGAATAATATGTGTGTTATTAAAGAAAAAAGATTGTCCTCTTGTTAACCTACCATGATAATTTATATTAATAAACATTAATTGAAATATTGTTCTAAAAAGCATGAAAAAAATATACCGTTGAGTACAATTCTAAATTTTAAAAATAAATTATTTATACAATAAAGATTTATCAATTATTGCAATAATTATGACATTTTCATTTATATATTTGTTCAACTTAACTTAGTTTCTATATAGTTACAATGAATTATTAATTTTCGAAGTTGTCAATGTATTTTTCTTCATAAGAAAAAAGTGCAATCGACTTTGAATGACAATTCGATATTTTGTCACAGGAGACTCAATATTCGATGATAAAATCAGACATATTTCATACATGATCAATCAAAGCGAAAATTCTTTTATAACTAAATGTTAACTTTTGTAGCAATAATAATACTGAATGATATAAGTAATTAAGTAACATACATACAAAATTATTTTCCCAAATGTTTCTTATATCATCTATCGTTTGTTATAATAATGATTAATGACATAGAATAACTTTACTAAGGATTGTGTTAGGCAAATACTCTGTGTTTAGATCATTATTGAGTTTCATAGTAGAATATAGCACAAAAGAGTTTGAATTTATTGTTGTTATAACAATCGAATATTTTCAAAATACCAATATTCTGTATTGTTTGGAAATAAAATTAATCATCAATGAACACTTTTTTTTTGAAGAAATAAAACAAAAAATATTTCGTTAATAATATTTGTATATGTATAATAAAAAAAGGGAAGAAATTTAACGCAAAAGAGTCAAAAAAAAAAATAAACCATAGAAGAAAAAAACAATGTATAACATCACCGATTTGTCATATTTGTTGCAATAGGCATATGTTCATTAGCATCAATGATAATAGTATCAATATTATTGTCAGTCTGACGACGATTATTAGTCCAATTATCAAATAAACGATAACCTGCACTCGATGATTCCCAATCATCACTAGTCGATTCAAGCGAATAAGTAAATTGTCTTCGTCTTTGACGTTTTCGTTGCAAATAAACAAAACCAAGTGCAATACTAACTGAACCAATAATAAGTAATAATCCAAATATAATTATTGTGGTTACAATACCACCACGAATAGTTCTTTTTATTTGAGGGGACGCTGGTCTTAAGTTTGATTCTAGTTATAAGAAAAAAAAAGTTTCTTTTAATTTATATTAATAAAACTTTTCAACACATACTTGTACATCCATATTCATTCATTCCTTGTGGACAAGAATGATAACCATCACAATGATTAGTTTCATCAATACACCATTCATCTTGATTAGTTGTTAAACAACGATATTGGTCTGATTTACATGGACCTATCATCAAAAAGAAACAACAAGAAAAATATATTTTATAATAAAATAATATTTATCATTGAATGCCTTTTGATATATTTGTTATTAATATTTGAAATGGTTGAATATCAAATTGACATAAACTAAATATAATTGGTAAATTTACTATATCTGATTTAAGATAAGTTCGATTCGATGATAAGTAATTATAAAATTTTATCAGTTCTGTTTGTTTATTATAAATTTTTAATGATGGATGCATTTGTGACATGTCAAGAATATTTATTGTTATGTATTCAGATGAATCTGACAATGATCGTGATTTAACTACTGTTATATTACAGCATGTTGAATATGATAAAGGTTTATACGTGATTGATAATGATGATGAGAGCGTGAGCGGTTGATTACAGAAAGACATAAATTGAGCTAGAAAGAAAAAAGATAATAAACAAATAGTTTGTATTCTTGTTTACTTTTGTTTACCTTGTAAGCTATTTGAATAAATACTTTGCATAAGTACTAGTAACCACCAACACCAAATTTGAATTATTCGATTATTTGTCATTTTTTGAATGTATATATATATATGTACGTAGATTTATTTAGCAAAAAAGAATTTCTTTTTCTCTTATTCAAATATGTATTACATCGTAACTCTAAATGCTACTTCTTGATTGTCAAATCGGCTACGCATGTTTCTCTCGTTCTCGTTCTCGTTTTTCTTACGACCTACAATAAGAAAGAAATACATCGGGTAGATTTTCTTTCTTTCTTTTTTTTTCGATGACGATGATGATGAATCAGCACCGAAAATACGAGTCCGACCAAGAAAGAAAAGAGAACAACGAAGTATATTGTACGTGCTTTGCTTTCACCTTCAGCATTTTCTATACTGTCGTTCTAACATCATCACCACTACTTATAATGGTGTTAAGATGGAAAGAGAAGAACAAAAAAAACGACGACTTACATATAACAGAAAATGCCATTGACAAACGACCATGAGAAAAACAAGATAGATAAAAATGAGATGCGAATGGCCCGGGGAAAAGAAAAAAAGGAGAACAATAACAAATTGATGTCTGCATAAAAAATTAAATGTCCAGTACGATCTAGTAGGTTATTGTACCACCTCTAATATATATACGTATACCTACTTATTAGTATTCCCTATAAAAAAACTTAATGAGATTATATTAAAAAAAAACCTATTTGAAGATTGATTTTCTTTTGTAAAAGTTTTCAATTGACAATAAAATTTCATCTTGTATATTTATTAAGTTATTCATATGTTTTATAATGAATAGACTTAATATCAAATATCACTTTGAAACATTCTTTCGAGAATAAAAAAATTTAGTTAAAAGTATTATATATATATAACTACAGATTGAAAAGATTGGTCTATTTTTTAAAATCATATATAAATATATCTAAGTATATAATAGTTATGTTCTGTCTCAAGAAAGGATACACGAAGCTACCTAGTGTTATACTACCGACGTAGAACGTGCTCCAATCGGAAAATTAAATCTCAATATGTCTATTTGACAGCTCTTGTCATAAAATCTCTTGAAACAAATTTTGATGAAAAAAGAACATTTTTGACTGAGATGTAAAATTTTTACTAAAAAAAGGCATTTTGTGTTCTATTGACATTTTTTCGCTATTGAAGGATATTTTCTTTTCGCTCACAACTAACCCATTTCATAATCGAGTTTTTTTTGGATAATATCCTATTCAAAAGAACGCAAAAAATTGAAAAAGTTATGATATTTAACAGAGTACGAATACAACATCAAAGGTTCAAAAAACATTTCAAAACTGGAAAAAAAAATCATTAGATTTAGCCTGTAGGCTTTTTCAGTATTGAAAAAAAAAAGGTTTTAATAAACACTTTATGACTTTGATGTTGTACAAAATTTGGTTCTCCATAAGATTCACTATGAATTCAGCTTTGAACATATCAGAGAGAAAATCAAATATTCAATATATTATCTATGTAGAAATTCGATTGTTTGACTATCAAAAAATTGATTCTCAGTCAGACCTAATGTGATATCCATAATCAGCATCGAAAATTGGTTTGAACAAACATATATATTCTTAAAAACGATTCTTCATCAATAATCTACTCCTACTCCCTCTTAGCTTCTGTTTCTATGGGTTTTATCTGTGTTTTCTTTCAGGTACATTTTTGACGAGAAATTTTTTTAAAATAAAATGTAGACTTTTCAACTTAATCTTGGATGCTGATTGCAAATAAGACATTTGTGTTGCTTGAACAAAAACGTTTTAATGCTCAAACAAGTGACTTATAGTGGATCTAATAGAGAATAAAATTTTGTATAAGATAGACTCATATAATATAATTATTGGTGAAGAGACTTTTACTATGAGAAATTTTTCCAAAATTTTTAGAACACGATTGTTTTTCCAATTAGAATTATTTTTTGTTTTTTTGAAATGCTTTAAGCGATAACTTTCATTATTTACATTACTTAAACAGGAGAAATATTCCTCGACGTCTTCAGTTTTCTTTCCTCTTACAATGAAACACTTTTTAAACACACCTATCGTAGGATGATCGAGAAAAAATGTGAAATATGAGCAGTCGAATATATAACTAAATTGGGAAAATTTAATTGGTTTAGGTTTCTTAAAAGATTAACATTACAATGTAGGTTCCTTGAAGATCTTTATAATTTGTTGCATTGAAAGATAAAGGTAATAAAGAAGAGAAGACTTTTTTGTATATAATCATCTATACTAATTTAGCTGATGATATTTGATTGGGAGTATGCCTATGGTAGAAAAGAAAAATTCATCTTGAAGGTTACAATTGATCAAACCAAGCAGATGTACATAATTTGAATTTCTCAACAATATTAAAATTGTTGGATGTCTTTTTTACATGGTTGGGTACAAATGTAATACTTCTGTACAGCTTGCTTTTTGTGTTTTTAGAAAGCTGAATCAGTTTTCAAATTTGATTGATTTATTTAGTTAATGTGATGATATTGGAAGAGAATGAATATATGAAGGTAATAAGTGTTCATTTCGATTAGGTTCTGTCTAGATAAAAATAAATTTCACTATTTATATGTAGCATTTGGTATTTGTTATCTCTCATTACTTAAGTTTCTCTTGACAGCAAAGGATGATTGATATATGACTGTACTGATTCAATTTTGTTGAATGTATAAATCCGAAAAAAAATGTTTTAATCAATTTTTCAAAAATTTATTGTCATCATCGTGATATATTTAAGAAAAATTAATTATATATTCTGCAAGCGCTTGGAGTTTTCTATAATCTTGTCTGTTTATATCGTCAGTTGTACCTGTTGGTTGGCAAATATATCAACTGTAATGAAGACAATCACATCTTCTGATTCCCATGAATTGAATATGGTCATTGCTTCACCAATTTTGAAAAATTGTGTGTTTTTTTGGCGAAATGGATCTTATTTTCCTTGAAAACAATAGCCAGTAAGTGAATGTAGACATTGCTATCAATCAATCGAAAGAGATTATGAAACATGTGGTTCAATTCATATTCAAACATATGCAAACAAGAACAGTTAATATTATCATCTTTCATATCACATAATTATAAGAATTATGCATTTTCTTAAATAGTCTGAGTTTTTTGCTTTATAAATGAACAAACAAAAGATGATATGGATATAGTTTGTTAAAGACTTTCTAGAATACAAAGTTGGATATATATGACCAGCCTACTGCTATTGTCAAACTTTGATATTAAATTTTTATTACTTTCTTATTAGTGTAAACTGCGTCTTAAATAAAAATTTATGTAGACATGGATATTTTATCGAGGTCCATAGTTGTATGGCTAAGAGTAATAATTCTTTTCAAATCATTTTTCATAAAGATTTTCTTATCATATTCGTCAACAAATAATCATCTTTTATAATACGAATGTTTTACTTTTTTCCACCATCATATTCGATGATAAGGATTTTGAATATATCAACAAGTATATAAGACAATTCTATCAGTGACGATAAAATCATGGAAGAAAATTCTCCATGTTCCTCTAATTTCAAAAAATTGTTTCAATCAATAAATGACATCGAATTTTGTTCAATCTATGAGTACCTTTAGCATAAAATTTATTTGATAAACTAGATTTATATTATTCCAATATTAATTGGATGACCAAGAAACCAAAAGTTGATCTCAATTATCATTCGACACATCTTCAGTCAATTCAAGCTTTTAATTGTAATGAAAAATTACATTACCAGAAAAATGATTGAAATATTTGACATGTTGAAATATTTTTCCACAAAAAATGTGAATATGTTAGAAATGAGTTTTTAATAAAATCATCTTTTGTTTTCAGTAAATGACCTTACGAATAATACATTGATCTTGTTTTCGATCAATATTATATATACAGAAAGAGAAAATCAAATGAACTACTTCTTTCCATAATATCAGATAATATTAATGATGTATTTTGTTCAACGTTTTTCAAATTTATCAATCTCGAATCATTGACATCTTGATATTTTATTAGATATTTAATCCAACTGTTGTAATTCAACAAAAATATATTATTAAATCAATGATCAAAATTTTTTTCAACAAATATCTTAAAAAAACTCTTCGACAAGATCGAACATACATTAAATTACATATAAAATAATGACTTGATATATTTTTAACACACCGTTTACAATTATTATTATTATTGCCATCACACTCTTTTGTTTGACCATATCCAAGAAATTTTAAGTTTTGATGAAAACATAATGAGCATTGTATGAGAGAGGATCAAGAAAAATGAGATTCGAGTATAAGACAATGACAGACATTAATGAATGACTGATTCCTTGTCGAAAAAGTCCAAGACAAATTAAAACTATCAACAGATATGTAAGAATCTATATTCTTTGCTATGATAACTAAATGATTCTATTATGATTGTAGACCCATAGATGAGCCTCCGACACTTGAGCTTAACATAAAGAACAATATAAAGAAACATAAGAAAATTGTTTTGGTTGAACAAGTTCATATTCAGTTTAAAAATTAAACAGAGCTCTTGCTTATTTTAAAGTATAAGTCTATTGTTATTGAATGAAAATTCTAAAGAAATTGTTGTAAATTTTTCATCACGAAGTTTATATTTAACATGTTTCTTTATCTACGTGCAACCATTTAACTATTATCAAATTCTCATGTCATTCCACTTTTCAAATATTGGATAGATTCATACAATGACGGACTTTTTCGTGCTAAAGTATATACAGAAACGAATGAGCTATGGTATTCAGGAAAACACATTAAAAATTAACAGAACTTTACTAACTCGATGATAATCTTCAAAAGAGTATGACCATAGGAATGTATGTAAGTTAAGAGAAAACGAACATCTACACCGGAAAACTCAACTATCGTGTCACCATTTATGATAATCAACGATTATTTAAAACGAAATTTCTGATTAGTTCATTGTTTATCATCGTATCTGACTAAACAAAAAACTAAAAATTCCATGAAATTTGTTTGAAAAAAAATTTGAAATGTGCTCCATTCTATTGTGAAAATAAAATGTTTGTCGTGGCTTAATCATGTTCATCTATGAAGTGTATTGATTTTATTCTTAATAAATACTATCAGTCCAAAACAGAAAAATTAAAAACAGCTAAAATTTTTTGATATAAATCATAAACGTGATATTTCGGTATCTATTTCTCAGATACCATC